AAAGTAGTAAATACAAAATTTAATCCGTGAATATACTCAGAAAGGGCTTATTCTATCATATTCACGGATTAAATTTTTGTATTTACTTCTTAGTAAAGAAGTTTATCCATTTTATAAAATACAAATGTTTTGATGACTTTAGATGTTATGCACCATAGCAATACAGTACTGATATTTTATAGCAACTTGGTATTTATCCAATAGTGTACAATAAATGCAAGTAATTAATATAAGATTATTATTTATTATTTTAAAATTAATTAATGTACAAGTTTCATTAATAATAAATAATGAATAATTTATTGACTAGCTAGATTTTTATAATAATCAATTGAATATAGCGTAATACAAATATTGTATGTAAAAATCACATGAAACTTCCCACGACAAAGATAATGATAATACTTATGATAATGTTTTCTTTAATTATTTGGGGGTTAAGATGTATACTTTATAAATAGCATCAAAACATTGAGTATATGTACTCTTTATAACTAGAATAATTTTTATATATATAGTCGTTACTTGTTATAGTTATTATTTATTATTAAATATTTTGATGTGTATATGTATGTGTATACGTATATAGTATACATAATTTGTTGTATTATTCTAATACAAATGTGTATTGTCATAATACACGTACGTATATGTCACAGCCCTAACAGTTAATAACCTTTCCTTTTACGGTTATTTACAAAATCTATTATTATCGTCATTGTCATTGTTGTACATATACTTGTTTTGAATTGATCCTGTGAATTTGTTTGATATATACGTACAGCAATCTAGTAATAACGATAACGAAACGATAACGATAAGAATAGACAATTAAGGAATTTATATATTTGCGCAGCATGAATACAATTGGTAAAATAAATTGTACACAGTTAATTTCAAAAAGGATTTTAAAGAAAAAAAAGAAAGCATTTGTTAATGTGTTTATCGATTAGTATTTTATTATTACAATACATGTATTTTGTTTTATTTGTATTGAATTATCTTTAAGATGAATTTCTGAGTTTTTATTCTGATTAATCTAATTATTTATCATTTACAATACTCAACGGAGGAGTTCCAATCATCAATTCAATAAAAATCAGTACTGGAACAATGTGATGGCAATAATGTCATAGTGACCATCTTGAGGTTTGCGAATAAAAGCGTATATTTACCGCTTAGTATATTTTCATTGTCATTATTTTTCATTGTCATCATTTTCATTGTCGTCATTTGCGTTTCATTGTATTGCTTTTTATTTTCATCATTGCTGTCATTACATTGCTTCTATGGATTATTAATATCATTTCTCTATAAATGCTTTGCAAGTGTATACTCTGACATAAACTTTTGCTTAAATCTTCACTCTTTTCTAATTAACAAACCAAAATTTAAAAATCAATAAGAAACTCAAAACATGACTACCTTTAAAAAACTTGTTGAGATTGTTTTGATCATGGTAATCTGTCTCGTCGCTTTATCTGACGCCTACGCGATCGACGGCCGTTACTGTCAATTTACATGTGTTCTCCCCAACCGTAGTGGTAGTTATTGCCAGAAGTGTTGGTGTCCTGGGATGGGTTATATGTGTACTAATTTATGGGCAGATTGATCAATATAGAATAATATTTGTCCACTAAAATTATGTACTATCGCTATATACGTACTAATCCTTATTCTTGTTATTTCTTTACAAAATTCAAAATAACCTATTGTAAAAATTTTTTAAAAAAATAAAAGTTTACAAAATCGAATAAAACATTATTATTAACAACAAATTATTTTTGCAAATGTCTATACTGAATTCACGAATGGTTAATAGTTAAGGATTGCCAAAAATATCAAACGATTTGACAATTTATGAGTGTCCATTAACATCTTTCAATAATAAATTTGTAACATTCGGAAACATTATTTGATAGCTTAGACCATTCTCCTTCATCAATTATTTCTTTTACAATACTCGATAGCAACTATCATTTTAATAATTGCTCAGACTTTCAATTGATAATAGACACTAACTGAAAGACATGCTGAAATGTATTCGCTAATACAGTAACAATGACGTAATGTATTAAGTTTTGGGAATACAGTTAAACTGTTGTTATTTTTAATGGACAGGAGAAGTATTAATCGTAATGAGAGCTAATTAAAAATGTATTTTATTTTTTCCTTGAATGAAGACATTTTCCAACTTTCATTGCAATCATTGTGATAGCATCTTCGACTGCACCAAGTACAGTCAGACCTCCCTAAGTGCAATTATGCTCTAAATGTACGTTCTAATTTGGCCCAACTTATAAAATATATATGTATTTTTACCTCCATAAATACAATACCTCTCTTAGTGCAAGTTTTTGTATGTCCCGACGAGTTGTACTTAGGGAGGTATGACTGTATATGAATATTCGTTTGTACTGCATTCTGTTAGAGTTTGGCTGATGTAAATCTATCATCACCTTTATCACTTCACATACTATAAGCCAATCCAATAAATTTAGTATATCAGCTTTGATTCTCATCAGTTTTCCATGTTTCAAACTCTCATCAATATAAATTTGCAATGAGACCAATTCTTCATGATCCAACTTGAGGTGACAATAACTTGCATAACATCCTTTGGCAAAGTTATTGTTGCGTTTTCATGTAACCTACTCACCACTTTTTCTACTGTTTCCACCATTTTGAATGCATCAGACTTCACGTTAGTTTCCTGTACTACTTCATTTCGTATTCATACACAGTTATCACACTGACCAAATGGTAAACTCAAAGTATTATCATTTCATGCGATGTCAACATAAATTCTCTACAAGTATACTTCTCTTGACAACTTCAAATATTTGTTGTTGTCCTTTTGCTAAATTTAGTTATTCAGTACTATGATACATATTTCCAGTCTCTCTTAATATAGATCATATTATTATATAGTCACCATCATAAGTAACTGATCCCTGATAACTTTCTGAAAATTATGTGTAATACTCTAAAATTTTCTGAGCACAAAAAACATCACGAAAACGGATCATTAATATCATTTATAGATTAATTGATAATATACTAATATCATTTATAATCATCAAACTTCTACATTAAAAATATCTTTTTTATTATACAAGTGTGATGAATTTATTTTTTTACATATCCATCCTGAAAATCCAAAGCTCAAACTTGTAGCCACTACAAAGTATAAGATCTAAACATGAACCAAAATCAGATCAAAAGCAAATTACAATTCTAAAATAAGAGAGCTTGCAAAAAAAATATAACTTTCTTTAAAATATAATATAAACTAAAAAATTATAATGTTAATATTAGTATGAATACAATTTAATAATATTTGTATAAATCTGGAGCTAAATATATAAATCGACTTTCCAAATCTTTACTTATTGACAAGTATATAAAAATAACTACAATAAATAAACAAGTATAAGAACTACTGGAATTAAGTAATTTTTTAAATAAAAGCATCTTTTATCTAAATTAATGAAGAAAAAAAATAGATATTTTCTAGTAAAAGAAAAATATTTCATTCTATAAAGAATTTATTAAAGATTTATATATTAAAATGCTTTTTAACTTTGAATTTCAGTAAGTTAATTTATTTTTAAAGAAATTTAATAAATACTTATTTTATAGTTATATTATATAAAGAAAATTTTTTATCTTTTATTAAAATATGTTTTGGTGAGAATTATATAAATTAAATTTTGCAGAAGGATAATAATTTTAAATATTATTTGAAATTGATAAAAAATATGAGAAAAATAATATAAAAGTTCTTTATTGACTTTCAATATTATTTAATTAAAATCTAATTAAAAATATCTAAAAAATGAATATTGCAAAAAAAATTAGAATATTTAAGATATTAATTATTTCAAAAAAATAAAACAATATGATTTTTATTGGCAAATAAAATTTTGCATAATGCAAAGTATTACAAATTTTATAAATTAATAAGTTTTTTATAAAAAATATATTTTTATTAAAATATATTTTTATTAAAATATATTATTTTTTTTAATTTATTATTAATATTATTAAGTATTTAAAATAATTTTTATATTAATAACAATTTGCTTTTTATAATTTTATAATATATTTATTAATAAAATATAAGTTAATAATTAATAATTATGTAAATATATATTAAACAAAGTTTTAAATTATTAAAATATATATTTATTAATTAAAAACTAGATTACTAATAAAAATATTAAATAAATAATAATATAATATAATAATAAAAAATAAAATATTTAAGTTTTATTTTAATTTTTATTATAATTATTATAATTCAAAAATAATAATAAACGAGAAAATTTTAAAAAAAATAAATTAATAATAATAAATAAATATAAATAATGCTTAATATAAAAAATATTTAATATAAAAAGTTAAGCTTAAAAATATTTTTTAATAAATTTACTTAATATAAAAAAATTATTAATAAACTTTTAATTCAAAAAAATTTGTAAATTTTTATTATAAATTAAATATTTTTATATTAAAAACTATAAGTAAAAAATATTAATAATAAAATTATAATAAAAATATTAAATAAATATTTAATAATAAAAATAGTTATTTCAACAATTACAAATTTCTTAAATTCAAATTTTCTTATCAAATTAAATAATTATTAAATTTTATAAAATACAAAAATATAATCTACTTGTATAAAAAGAAAAAGATAAAAAATAAAAATTAAAAGTTATTTATTATATTATATTATTTATTTTCAAGTTTTAATATATTAAGTTAAAGCTTAATTATTATTTATTTTATATATTTTTACAATATAAATATAATTAAAAATATAATTAAAAATAAAATATATAAAAAATAAATATCTTAGTTAAATATAAAATTTTAATTAAAGCTTTTTATAAATAATTTATAAATAGATAATAACTAAATATTTTAATTCAAAAGTTTTTTTTTATATAAAATTTATTAATAAATAAATTAATATAAAGTGTAATAATAAAAATTTTAACTTTCAAGCTAATTTATAAAGAATTTTAATTCTAACTTAATATTAAAAAAATTAAATTATTACAAATTTTTTTAAATTATTATTAAAAACTTTTATATTATTATTTTATAAACTAATACTAAGTTTTTTATAATAATTTTATATAAATTAATTAAAAATTTTTCTATATTAATACAAAAGTTAAATAAATAAATATTATTAATATACAAATATTAAAATAAATAAATAAATAATTATATAAAAGTAAAATAAAAAATAAAAAAATAGAAAAGTAAGAAAGTAAATTAAAGATAAATAAAAAATTAAATAAATAAATAAGTAATTATATATATAATAAAGTATAATAATATATTAAGAATAATTAAGAAAATCTTTTTGTTAATTAATAAATTATTTGTATAACTTTTGTAATTTTATAATTGTTATAATTTAATAAATTATATATAATTATAATATTATACTAAATATAATTACTATTAGATAGAAAATTATTAAAGATATAACACAAATAATAGAAATTGCCAATATTTTTGTGAAAAAATAAACTATTTGTATCTCTTTATGAAAAAATATTTTTTTAAAGAAGGAGCTATTCTTCAAGCATTAATACTTTGATAAATTTACTTATTTATATTGTTGAAAATCTAAAAAAATCCAAGACATTACTTAGTGACAAGTCCATTTCTATTATAATAAATAAACAACTAATAATTGCAATAAAAAAATAATAAATACTTTATTTGTATTTCGAAAAGAAACAAGCTTATTTTTGTAAGTTTTTTATGAATGTCAATATATCAGAATAGTACAAACTCTTGTTAGCATTTTGGCACAATTTAACATTTCATATATTTTGTCTTTTATATCTGATTTTGTCTCTATATGAAAAAGTGTTACATTATTATTAATGCCACAATTAAATGTATTTCATCATTCATATTGTTCACATATCATTAATTTAATTAAATATGTGTTTATTTTAAAAAAATGCATAAAAATTTATTAATTATATTTTAATTTTCAAATTTTAGAGAAACTTGGCTTAATTTTTCTCATTTTTCAAATATCTAGATATTATTACCAGCCAAAGTCGATATTTAACATTTTTAAAAAATCATGGAATTGTATCTCCTCAAAAAATTCCACTTTCAGTTATTACTTGTTGGATTGAAGTGATTTATATACCGTTGACACCTTCATTTACTTCATGATTATTTCAAAAAAGATTTGAAAAAGTTTCAACTATTAATAGCCCCAATGAGTCGGGTTTAATTCAATCTATCTTCATTTTATTTCAATTTATTCACGTGAATTTGTTCATGATTTAGATTTTTTCAAACACAAAACAAACAAATTTTCTTTTTGTACAAGCTCGTTTAGAGCAATTGTCAAGCAAATCGTGTTTCTGACTCATTCTGCATAATTAAATACTGCGTATTCGCCAATACATAATGGTGATCCTTCATTTAAAAAAAATTTAATTCTCATATTCCTATACATTCTTTACATTTTTTATTCAAAGCATGCTAATTCTATCTTTTTGGTTGATGGAAAGAAGAAATGGGGGTGAGTCAATAAAAACCAAACAAATTATATATGTATTATATATGATTTGCTTGGTTTCTATTGACACACCCCCAAATATTGACGACATTCTGTTATTTATGAATTATCTGAACCTTCAGAAGAATTATTGCGAGAGTGGGCGATTTATTGTGGATGGGACAAAAGTGAATTGCTTGGAATTTGGATTTAGATAAATTTTGGAGGAAGAATGCAAACCAATTTTCATTGTTATCTAATATAGCTTTGGATTATACGTATTTGGTTGCCTGTATCTAGTTGTAGTGTAGAACGTAGCGTTTCTATTTATAATACTATTTTAGCTTGTGACCAAATCTTTCTGAAAGATCACTTAAATCATTGAATATGTTGTATTTTAACAGATAGTAAAAACAATAAATATTCTCAGAATGATTTTATAAATACAGAATTAAAAGAAGTAATGCGCAGAATTGTAAATTTTCAGAAACTGTAGGGATTTTTGCATAAACTAAATACATGTACATGTATTAGTGCATGCAGAATTTATTTTTAATCACCACAGGAAATCATCCCTGCAAACATATGTATATAAACACAATACGTATGACTTTTACAATTACATGTATTTGAGTTTTTTTCCAGAAAATCACATGATTATTGAGTAGACTTACTGTATCACAATAACGGGAATAACTCGATTCTGGGACAGAACTGTAATAACTGGATCAGAATCCAGATCCAGTAAAGTGACGCGGTGGTAAATGTGATCAATCAATTGGTTTTACAAGATAAATGTATTATAATGATAAAATTTTTTCTTGTGCGTGTATGTACTACATGTATTAACACTAAATTTCCATTGGATTGAAATAATTGCTCTCAGTTCAGGCGCAGACTCATTTTAACACAATAGAAAATATCATGCACATCCATCCCATCTCAAAAGTCCAAAGCCTATTCTTAACATCACTATTATTATGCTATTCCCAACAGAATCATTGCATATTGGAGAAGAGAAGTTGAATTCATTGATCCCATTAAAAATACAAAAATAAACTTCCGTAATAAATCAATAATAATAAGTTTCCCAACCATTGCCATATATTACTTAAAAGCGAATATGTATCAATACAAAGAAAAAAGAACCTTTATCCCAGTCCAGTAGTTGTATTATTCATGTTTTTGTACAACATCTTGCAAACAATGTTTACTTAAATATTTCTCAATGTCATTTGCAATTGTTTGTATTTCAGCTCGTGTTTTAGCTTGTAATTCAGTTCGTAATTCATTTCTTAAACGTTGAATCCGTGGGTCATTGTAACCGTTTTCAGCATGGGATTGTTGCTCTGCGTTGCCATGTTTATCTGTATTTATGTTAACATATCGATATGGCGTGTATACAGGTGGAGATGGAACTACATGTAATTTAAGAATCTATAAAATTTGATTAAACATCAACGTTAAATATAGTGATAGAAACAAAATTGGTACATGTATAACGACAACGAATCCATCCGTCCTCGGCGGATCCGTTATAATAGACAGGCTATATATGAATGTATATGTAGTTGCAAAATAAAATAGACGACTCCACTATAACTATAATTATAAATAAAAGTTTAATTAAACTTACATTTCTCGGTCTAAGCAAAAAGAAATAAAGTACACTTAAAAGGCTCACAAAACCACATATATTAGCAATTAACTGATGAAGCGGTAATTCAATATGTTTATACCAAATTTCCACGGGATAAATTTGGGTGAAAGTTGCTTCATCAAATTTATGAGATTGTGGAATAATTCGGAGAATACACCAAAGATTAGGGGTAGCAGCAAATCCAGATATTCTTGATGTGGTAAGTGATGTGACTAGTTCCACGTCTGCAGCTGGATTTCCCATGCTTCCACCAATGATTGCATCATTTTCTAAAGTTTGTTTTTCCTCGATGCGTTTAAAATATATATATGCTATTGAAGGCTATTATCAAATATAATGAATCGTGTTTCTAGCAACTAATCAAGTAAAATTAAAAGATTCTTTGCAATATTTTACTTACTATATTCACTATTTGGAAATTAACGTTTAGAGGATTTTCATGTTCAGTGAATAATCCAAAGAAAAACCATTGATCATTTGTAATTGCTCCTAACTTGTAAGTATGTAATCAAAATTATTAAATCAATGAGTTGTTGCACTTTATTTATCTAATAGCTGGTCACAAATTTAATAGAGTTTTATTTACCGTGCTATTCGCGTTAAAACTCGAATATAACGCGAATGCTATTTTCTGCGTCGAATTATTAAATGTAAGTGGTTTTGTTTCATATGTTGTTTCTTGAGGTTTTTGAGGATCAAAAATATCTGGTATAATATGTATGCATAAATAAGTCTATTATAAAGTTTAATTTGATCCCATTTTGAAAACTTACAGCAATAGTGACCAGGTAAATAATAGGAACCACGCATGTTAACAAAATTAGTGGCGTCATATCTTTCAGTCGTAACATAGTCATCACAAGGTTCACTCTGTATGATTCAATAGATCATATGTAGCATATAATGTATATATAATCATTAAATTGATCCACCCACAGCTTACCTTAAGAAAATCGTCGTCAGGCGCATTATCTTCGCTTGTATAGCATCCAATTGGCATATCTAGGGTTAAGCCACAAATTATGACACCAGGTGCCTATTATGTACATTTAACTAAAGTATTATTTCATTTTTTTCTGTTGTTCACTAGTTTCCTTGAAATATGGTTTATAAACTTACAGGTATCTCAGCTCGGTCTACACTTTTTGAACTGATGACAGGTAACTGTACATCTTTTATCATACACCAAACATTCAAAATACCATAACCAATGATTAAAATTCCAGTAATAATCAAACTTATTAACTTTGCCCGTTTTTCTTTAACAAGTTGCATTTCATTATATATATTGATTTCTTGATATTTATTCGAAGCCATGTTGATTTTTTTCTATTCTACTTGTGATAATTACTTCGTAGTAAATATATTTATAACTTTTCTTATGTACGTATGTTGAATTTTCGGATTCGTAACGCAATATCAGATACGGTATTTTTTATATTTTTCCTTTTTCGATGTTAAATTTAAAAGGGATTTATTCTTATTGTTATTGCAAGTGCACGAGCTAAACAAGCAAAGACCGGTAACAAGACAGATATGAAAAATACAGAACACGAGGCACTCTCATTCTCGTTATAGTATAATGATTGTGCAATACTAATTTTTAGCCGGCCTATTAAACTCAATATTTATAAGCTGAAACGATTTGGTTGATAAAGGTTAAAGTATGCATAAATATTATGCGTACGTAATGTTTTGTTCTTCAAAACAGCCGGAAAAGCTGGTTTTGGTCTCATATTACCGGTCAAATTTTGTATTTACTTAGTTAAAGGAGTTGCTAGAATTCTTAAATGAAACATATTGTCGATTTAAGAGTTCCGGCACCATAGAACTCGCATACCAATATAGTGATAGTAATTGAAAAAGTTCATTGTCATGCATAGTTTATATAACGATAGAAGCACGCAAGATTTGTCGATCTTGGAAAATTCTACTGTAATATTAAAGTTCGAGTTTAGGATTGAAGTCAGAGTTAGGGCTGGAGAAAAGGTTATTTGTAAAATTGCCTCCCCGATATTTTTTATTAGTGTACCAAGCTAGATTTAGGCATCTACTTCCCCATATTTGTTCACATTCTTAGCTTTATTTTCTTGTGTCGGATCGACACAGATTTCTTGCGTGCTACATGTACATGTAGAAGTATTTTGGCGTAACACATTGTGATCGATATGTCAGTGCATGTACGTATATCGATACAAGCTAACGTTAATAGCAATCAAGACATGTATAACGATAACGGATCCATCCGGATCCGCTATACGCTCTTATACGTAGTTGCAAAATAACAGGCAACTCCGCTATAATTATAAAAAAAATTTTAATTAAAACTTACATAACTTTGAACTACAACCCATGGGTCAAGACGTTCGATCCAAGCGAAAAGAAATAAGTGCACATAGAAGGCTCACAAACCACCCATGTTATCAATTAACTAAAGAAACGGAAATGCAATGTGCTTATACCAGACCTCCAATAGATAAATTAGGGTGAATGTTGCTTCATCAATATTTGTGGGAAAATCACACCAAAGATTAGAAGTAAACTAGATCCAGACAAAAGTGGTAAATGATGTGGATCATAATTTGTATCTCCAATGCTTTCGCTAGTGATGGCATCAGTTTTTACAGTTTGTTTTTTCTCGATGTCTTTAAATATAGATATGATACTGCAGGCTATCATCAAGTACCGAGTTTCGAGTAAACATTCGAGAAACAATTAAAAGGTTCTTTGCAATATGTTATTTACTAATGTTCAGAGGATTTTAATTTTCGGTGAATACTCCAAAGAAAAACCATTGATATTTGTAATCACTTCTAACTTGCAATTATGAATCAAAAATTTTAAAACCAATGAATTGTTGTTACACTTTATTTATTTATTAGAGTTTTATTTACCGTGTTATTCGTTAAAGCTCGAATCCAATTTTCTGTGTCGAATATTAAACGTAAGAGGGTTTGTTTCATATGTTGTTTCTTGATTTTTGATGATCAAAAATATTTGGTATAACATGTATGCGTAAATAAGTCAATTATGAATTTTTAATCTGATTGATATTTTAAAACTCGCAGCAATATGTATATTGTCTTATAGGACCACGGTCTAATCCCAATAAGACAGACTGATCAAGACCATGGTCTTTTATATAAATTAAAACCATACACATAATTCTAATACTTTTGGTAATAGTAACTAATATTTTATATTCTCTAAGAAAAATATTAATTTTAGAATATTGTATTAGATGGTTAGTATTCAAGTCAAATGACTCGGTTCTAAAGAATCAGTTAATTTAAATCAATTCTAAGCATCGATTAATTTCTTTGTTCCTCAAAATCAATAATTTGTATAAATTAATTTGAAATATCAATTTATTATTTTGGACGAATCAGACATTTTGTAATAGTATTATTATATCCGAGTTTTCTAAAAGCTCAGTCAAACTTATAAAATTATTTGTGACTCATGCGATAATTAATTTTTGAAAAAGATGCACCTTGGAATAAAATAAGTACACTGCATAAAGCCACGTTTCGTATTAACGTTAACATTAACCACATCATGTACATGTACTAAGAATTTGTACATGTATTACATGTCATTTGAACACAAACTCAAATGTACATTTAAATACTGTAAATGCATTTTGTGTCATTGTTCACACATTAAGAAATCGGTCTACACATAAGTGCTGGCGTTTTTAGCATTAGATACTGGATTTCTGTATTATCTATTATAGAACCAGTCAAAATTATTTATATCTGTACACACAATAACCGTCGATATAACGGACAGATTCATTAGTGAAAAAGTTTCGTTATATTGACGGTTTACTAATAATTCGTTATATAAACGGAATGTATTATAGACTGTTCTGGACCTCAATCGTCGGTCACTGCGTACACTAATATGACTGCAGTCTTAAATGGTTTTAAGACGGCGCTGAAATACCTGTAAGTTATTAAACCATATTGTAAGGGAACCTACCTATACACAGGTAAAAGGGGTAAGGTTTATCAAAGGCTTGTAATTGCTAAACTTTAAGTAAACCTGATTTGAATTGGAAACCTTAAGAAGCATTAAATAAACGCGTTAGTTTATCATAAACTTTACCCTCTTTTACCTGGGTAAGAAAAATGACACTTTAGTTAACCCTAGATATGCAAATTGAATGCTATGAAAGCTACCTTAATGCAATTGACGACGATTTTATTATTATGCTACATATAGGGGCGAATCAATAGAAACCATATGTAATTTGCTTGGTTTCTATTGAGTCGTCCCATATGATTTATTAATCAAACAGGGTATGGTGCATAACATCTAAAGTCATCAAACGTTTATATGTTATAAAATGTATAAACTTCTCAAAAAAGTAGTAAATACAAAATTTAATCCGTAAATATACTCAGAAAGGGCTTATTCTATCATATTCACGGATTAAATTTTGTATTTACTTCGTAGTAAAGAAGTTTATCCATTTTATAAAATACAAATGTTTGATGACTTTAGATGTTATGCACCATAAGCCCTGTAATGTCTGTGTCACAATTGAAAGATATATGACGTACTAATCTTTTTAATATGCGTGGTTTCTATTATTTAACGGATGTCCGTGTCTGTCCCGGTCTTAGGACCGGAAGTCGGACCATAAACTTAAATGATTTAAGACTGCAGTCTATATTTCTTGAATTGATAATGACAAGTGACTGTATAGCTTCCACCATACGTTAAACATTCAATATATCATAAAAATGGTTAAATCCCCCAATAATGAGCCTTTTTCTTTAATGCATTGCATTTCACTATATACTCTATTGACTTCTCTATCCTACTAGCAGTAAATAATTGTGTACCGTGTTTTACTTAAACTTTGAAATGACAGTAAAAGTGTGAAAGTCGATTGTGTTAAAGAAGCTATAGAACTCCCATTTGTGTTTGTAAATAGATTTATACAGTAGTAACCATAGCATCCAAACGCCCAGCATTGTCCAAACTTATACTATAACAATCATCCTAATTTTCTGGGCGTTAAATTAATACGACACCTGGTCGCTTGTATATTTATAGATTGTTAGAGCTTCTATATGGTGCATAACATCTAAAGTCATCAAATGTTCGTATTTTATAAAATGGATAAACTTTCTTACTAAGAAGTAAATACAAAATTTAATCTGTGAATATGATAGAATAGGCCCTTTCTGAGCATATTCACATTAGTAAAGAAGTTTATCCATTTTTAAAATACAAACGTTTGATAACTTCAGATGTTATGCACCATAGATATAAGTTGATAAACTTTCATGTAACAAATATAATAACTCTGTCAATTTAGGACATAATATCTCGATGTCCAGCGACCCAATCTAAGCGAAAATACTACCATTCGATTTGTCTAATCTAGGCGATATTTTCGTTCAAATTTGATCACTGTATGTTGAGATATTACATCCTAAGGTGACATTATCTGTGTAATCGGAATGGTTAAAGTAATAAATAATAAATATAATGATAAGTATAAATATATGCACAAATACAAAAGAATAAACATCTCAAAATAAAAATTAATAATTGCTTTTAATAAAAGTCATTCAAAATTTAACTAAACTCTATAATTTTTTACACTAAGTAAAGAATAATTTAAACTAACTATTTATATTATTCTTTTGTACTTTAATTTAATAATACATGAAGCAATATATTTCTAAAAAATAAAAATTTATTTTTTTTAAAAAATACATTTAAGCATTATTTGCAATATTAGAACTTTAAATTATGCAAGCAAATTGCTATATATTTGATAAAAATATATTTTAAATTTCATAAAGATTGAATCAGTAGTTATTGCAAAATTAAGTTTCAAAGTTTAACAATTAAATTATTTATTATATATGTTTTATACTAATTCAATCAAATTTTATATAGTAAAATTTATGAAATAAGAATTCAAAAAATTATTACTAATAAAAATTTTTTTATGAAATATATATATAATTAAAATATATTTATTTTAATTAATCCTAATATCTAATGACTTAATTAAATAATACAGAATTAAAATTTTGTTTTAAAAAAATAATTTATTAGAGGTGCAAATCTTTTTGCACTGGACTATAGGATCAAATTATGCATTAATATTATGCATAATGCTTTGGAAATTTTTGTTCTTCAGAACAACTGGCAACCTTTATTCGATAACATATGTAATTCGATATACGTACATGTTATGAATATGAAGATGACATAAGTAACGATAACCTTTGACAAATATGGTATTCATTGAACAATTAAAGCTCTGGTATCGGTATGGTACATGACGCTTATAATCAAAACAAGTCGTTAATATCTTCTTAATTAGGTAGTAATCCAACTTAATTCATAATGTCTTTCTTGATAATAACGATAACCACTTCCTAATTACGAAGTCACAGAACTCTGGTTTGACCATAAGGGTCAGCCATGCACTATATACGTGCGTATACGTACGTACTGTACAAGTTAATTGTATTTTTGCGTAACACAGTATGATAAATTTGATATTTGTATAGCGATGAAGTCGGAATAAAACTATAACTATATACGTACGTAGTAATGTTGTATTTATTATTCATTTTGTGGTACAACACCTTGCAAGTAATGTTTACCCAAGTATAATCTCAAATTTCCAATGTCGTTTGCAATTGTTTGCATTTCAGCTCGAAATTCATTTCTTAAATGATGAATCTGTGGATCATTGTAATTGTTTTCAGTAGAGATACCTATTGAATGAGCATCCATCTCTGGTGATTGGTCGGCGTTGCCATATCGATATGACATTTGTTGATTTTTATTTAATGTGTCAGTGTATGAGAATATAACTGGTGGAGGTGGAACTGATTTAAGAACCTATAGAATTCGATTAACGTCAGTATCGAATATAGTGAAAGTCAATACGTATAAACCTCTGCAGATTCGCTATAACAAACAGTATTTTTATATATTAGCTGTTCCAAAAAAACAGAAGCTATATCGGCTTTCACTATCATTTTTAATTATAAATAGAATTTTAATTAAAACTTACATATCTTTGAACTGCACCCCATGGATCAAGACGTTTCGATCCAAGTAAAAAGACAAAAAATGCACTTAGAAGGCTCACAAAACCACCCATATTAGCAGCCAATTGAAGAAACGGGAATTCAATAAGCTTATACGAGATTTCCACAGTATAGGTTTGGGTGAAAGTTGCTTTATCAAATTTATGAGCTTGTGGGATAACTCGGAAAATACACCAAAGATTAGGGGTAGCAGCAAATCCAGATATTCTTGAAGCGGTAAATAATGTGGTAAGTTCCACATCTGCAGTTGAATCATAAGCTATATCTCCCATGCTTCCACCAGTGATTGAGGCAAAATTGTCAAGTTGTTTTTCCTCGAAGCGGTTAAAATATAGAGACGCTATTGAAGGCTATAATTGATTAGGAAAAATAATGTTTTTAGCAAATAATCGAGAAAAAAATCAAAGAAATTCGTTTATGATACTACTTACTAGGTGTATTATTTGAAAATTGACGTTCCGCGGATCTTCCTTCTCAGTGAATATTCCATAGTAAGCCCATTTATCAATTGTATTTGCTCCTAACTTGTAAGTATGAAATCAAATTCTCGAAATCAATAAGTTGTCAGATTCTACAAATATAATAAAGCTTTATTTACCGTATTATTCGCCTCAAGACGCGATTATAACGCAAGTGCAATTTTCTGCGTCGAATTACTAAATTTAAGAAGTTCTTTTCCATATTTTGTTTCTCTTTGAGGGTCAAAGACATCTAGTATAGTATATATGCGTGTATTGTGAATTTAATTCGATATCATTCTTAATATGTCTTACAGAAGTTTATATATATTGAAAACTTACAGCAATAGTAGCCATTTATATCACGGAAACCACGCATATTAACAAATTGAGTAACATCTTCGGCAGCGATATAGTCATGACATTCTTTACCCTGTATGATTCAATATATCATTTAACAGATCACATATGGTCTTTTTTAATTTAACTCATGACTTGCCTCATCAAAAGTGTCTTCAATTGCATTAACTTCGCTTTCGAAGCATTTAATTGGTATATCTAGGGGTTGGCCGCAAATTACGACACCAGGTACCTATCATTATGTACATCTAACTAAAATGCTATTTTTTTATATTTGGTTTTCTTAATAAAAACTTACAGGTATTTCAGCTCGCTCTGCAATTCTTGAACCGGCGATGACAGGTGACTTTATAGCTTCCACCATGCGCCAAATATTCCAAATACTATAACCAACGATTAAAATTCCAATCATGAGCCATATTAGTAACTTTATCCGTTTTTCTTTAACTCGTTGCGTTCCATTGTCTACTATATTAACTCCCTGAAAATCATTCGAAGCCATATTTTTAGTTGTAAATATACTTATAAATTTACTATAAACAATGCTAAAAAAAACTTGTAAAAAGTGTCGTTTTATAGATGTTTATGACTATTTATTGGAAACTATATAGGATAAAGAAAGTATCCCTTTATTGGGTCATTATCGCTAGTGTCAATAATTTACTAATACATGTACATTTACGTATTACAATTGTCATTAAAGTGAGAATAATGGATGGCTTGTTGCAATAGCGATAGCGCTATTGAGATAGTAAAAAAAAGGCGCAGCGTTTAAATTCTAAATAACGATAATGTAAACACAGTGACACCAAAAGCCACATGGGATATTTAAATGGTTACGTATAATCTATACATGGATCAAAAAGTTCTCATTATACGGAATTGTAGCCGTTTGCTCCAGCTGCGAGAGGATTTTTTGATTTATGTATAAATTACCATTTAAATATTCCATTTGATTGTATCGCTTTTAATGTCCATATAAATACATGTATTAATCAAATAGCTATAACCGTGATTTTGTAAGCACATAATTTTGAGTACCATGTATAAGCAACCTGTGACATTGCCCTTTTTTATGGTGCACAACATCTAAAGTCATCAAAATTTTGTATTTTATAAGTAAATACAAAATTTAGTCCGTGAATATGATAGAATAGGCCCTTTCTGAGCATATTTACGGATTAAATTTTGTATTTACTTTTTAGTAAAGAATTTTATCCATTTTATAAAATACAAACTTTTGATCACTTTAGATGTTATGCACTATAGTAATTTTTTTTAATTATCACATGTATTTTACTCTATTAAGTACATGTATCGCATATTTATATGTAACTATTTGTTTGTTACAAGTTGCTAAAATCCGGTACGTGATGCTAGGAATCGTGCGCTGGTCAAACAACTTTTAATTTACATGTACTATTACGTGCTATAAAAAGTGACGTATAAACAAATCTGTATGTTCGAACCATTAACTCCGATTGTTGTGACACAATTATAACAAATTTTATCCAAAGGTTTTATGGTAGAACCTCCTAGATTACTTATCGTTACGTATACACGTAGAACAATAAGTGATAGACTTTTATCGTTATAAGACAATTGTTTGTCCATAGAATTTTTAATATGCAATTTATGCATCTTAGAAAACTGCAGCTAAATTCTTTTATGTGCATGAGGACTCCGTAAATACATGTACATGTATATCGATATTACTATTTTCCGCATGTGCGATTTGATTTGCACATTATATAAAATTATTTTCAAATATCTGATTTATTTACAGCCATATTTATTTCCGTATGCACAGTATATAACGATAATATATATGGGCTAAGTGCAATAGAAATGGTGTAAATTATGTTATAAATTCTAATACAATTTACACCGTTTCTATTGCAAGTAAATATATTGATATAATAAATGCAAATTACAAAGTCGTTATCGATTTCATCTAACAAAGGAACAACTTTCTTCTTTTGAAATTTATTCTATCCTCAAAGCCCTTGCATATAATATCCTAAACAAGATGAATTTATAGTTGTTCTTGAAAGAAACTCCGAAATATCTTTGTTTTACAATACAAAAGAAACATTAATGAAGTCAATATAAAAATAGAAAAACCAATTTTACCTTCATTTGAAACAAACAAGCTGACACTTGTCAACCGCATTCGATATGAATTTAATTAATATAATTTACTTAGAATTAAAATCAATTTTGTGGCAAAGACTCGACTGGTGTAAACTGCATTTGAGTGGAGTTGTTTTTGATTATATTTGTGGGAATGCAATTTTGTGATATCATCTTTTTGTCAAGTATTTTTAATTTCTTCAATTCTAGTTTACCACACGCCTTAACTCTATATACTTTTTTTATTTCTGGCTTAAAACAATATTTAAGTTCGTTTAAGATGTCCGTTAATTTCATGTGTTTTAGAGTATTTTAAAAAGCTGCAGTACTGAAGATGCAATGTATTCGGTTCCACTCCTCATCGACATAATTGACATTGTCAGCATACTTGATAGACCAGACAAAAAATATTCAAGTTCCCAAGCAGTTGGTCTGTTTTCTGAAATAGGATCCCAACATTTTTTAATAATAAATTTGGTATTTTGGGTCGTACACTATTGTAATGTCTAATACGAGATCATTACTACAACGCCGCTCACCGAATGGTCGTTCAGTTGGGCAATCTCGCACATGATATCTCAAACTATAAATATCTGCAGCTTTAGTGTATGGCTTCCCATTTAGTACCTCTGGACTCATATAAGGAAGCATTTCGATAAGATATTTTTATATCTGCTGGTTTGCTAAGTGAAATCAGCAATTTCAGCAGTATTATGCAATAATACTAATTTATTAGGGTGAAAGTCACGATGCACAACTTCCTCCTGGTGAATTATATGTATATTCAACTTTGAGTAACAGTAAGTAAATGTCCTAATTTCGCTTTCCAATTCAATTTTTGGTAGTTGGGATTCATATAAGTACTGTATTTACGTAGATCACCATATGCTGCGTAAATCTTTCAAAATGGATCCATTCAAAAACATAATAGTCGATATATTTATTTCCGTTAAACCATTTCGCATTATAAATTCGTATATGATATTCAAAAACCCATCGCAGTATCAATTGTTTTGACGAGTACATTTACTACAATCATAAGTACTCGAAATTTTAAATGCCATCTTTGAGTTTATTATATTACTGATTATGGCAGTGTTTTATTTAAAAAAAACAATTGTTTATACATGTCATGTATGTGTTATTTTTATTCACGTGCATTAAATGGCTTTCATTTGTGTGTTAAAAGGGCAATTTCTATTTTTATATGCATAAAAAATGAAGCCTTTATTGTAGCGTATAATAATAATAAAATATTGTATTTTTTTAATACAGAAAATGCGTAATATGTATTAATTCTTGTGCACGTTAACATAAATTGAAGCTTATGAAGTACATGTAATTGTGACATTCACAAAATCTTTTTAAAATATCCTTTTCTGGCAATTAAAACTTGTACATATCATTTTGTTTAGCAATTGACATTATATTTGAAGAAATTCGAATACAGAAGAATCTTATTTCAACATGAAACCGGTAGTTGTAACGATAAGCAATCTTGTTTTTTATGTCGAGCAGAGTGAAATTCCAGTTACAAATTTTCTCCAGATACAAATTCATACCGTAGACTAGTGGCAATAACAAAATCAATTAAATAATTATAGATAGGCAAATAATTATAGACTTAATGACGTTTGGATTAAATGGATTCCATAAGAAAGTAGAATATATTATAGATAATTTGAGAAGGCAAAATTAAGGAAATAAATCCAAATTTGTACCAAAGCAATCCCTCTAATTAAAGTATTTTTTAATATATTCTCTTGATGTGATGTTTAGCTTTTAACAAGTAGAAATAACAAAATTAACCAGATCATAACAAAAATTTTTCAGGTTTGAATATAATCATTGGATTGAGTGGAGAATTGAACAAACTAAAATTTATAGTGGAAGAAGCTCGGGTAGATAATGGACTTGAAAAAGCATTCATTAAGGTGAAGAAAAATAATGTATGATTGGAAGTATAGGTAAAAAATTTGATAACTTTTGCCAAATAAAATACAAATAACTTTTTGAATAGATTTTTTCGTTCTATTTACTGTATTATTAGCGTTAGCAATATCGGTATTACGACAAAAGTATCTACGTATAAAGTTTTACATGAACCGGTTACTCAAAACTGCATGTATATTTAGGGATGGGTCAGTTCGGTTCAATTCAATATGTAGAGCGGTTTGAACCAGTTGGAACCGGTTTTGGCTCTATATATTTTATCTGAACTGAACTGAACCCAACCGGTTCGAACAGTTCGATCGAGGAATCGCTCCATCCCTATGTATTCTAGTAAAAAGAAATTTTGTTATTTAGATCTGCGTTGAAATAATTGTTATGGTTTAGCAAATCACTGCATGCACTGAAAGCACTCCAACATTAACGTCAAATTTAATTAGCAAACAATCAGGTGTATAAAATTTTATGATATAGTATAACTACTAATGAATAGTGATGACAAATTATAACTCTTCATCAGGAGATAATTAACGAACATATGATAATTGAATATTGCTAGAATGCAAAATCGTAAGAAATGATGATAATTACACAAAAGCATGTGATAAAGGAAAATATATTTAAACTATAACAAATATGATATTATCACGTTTTTTGTGTGAATTTACATAATGCAACTTAAATGTCTTATATTTAATTCCAATCCAATTCTTCGTGGTTGGAATTAATATTTGCATAATCCATTACTATTAAGTAGAGTGCTCAGTTTACCGCATCTCAATAGATTATGTTTTCAGAAGTAAATACAAAATATAATCTGTGAAAATAATAAAATAGTCTTTTCGTGATCATATTCACAGTTTATGTTTGTGTTTACTTCTTAGTTAAGAGAAGTAAATCCAAAATTTGACCAGTAATATTATCAAAAAAAGTCCTTTTATATAGTATTACTGGTTAAATTTTGGATTTACTTCTTATTTAAGAAGCGATAAATTTTTAACATGAAACATATTGTCGATTTAAGAGCTACAACAAATCAATTGAAATGCAGTAAACTGAAGATTCTACTACAGAGGCCTCCCAGAATATTGTGAACACTTTTTAAAATACAATAACGCAAAAACCAATAAAAAACAAGATTTATAATTCTAAGCTAATAGATTTATTAAATCATAATGTACATTCTTTTAAAATTTCAAGTGATTTAAATCACTGATTTAAAATATAAAAAAATGTAAAATTTTAAATTTAGCATTAAACTGAAATTCATTATTCATCTCGTTCAAGCCGATACGAATTCATTTTGTTCAAACTAAGACGCATTTTGCTTTGATTCGAGACGCGCGTTTCATTTCAGCTGATACTCATTCATGTATTAGCAGATCATATTTGTATCACAAAATATCGATATTTAATGTGTTAATTTGTTTAATTCGTCAATGATACACATCAAATGCACTATGAAAAGTGAGAAAGACTTAACTAAAGAACAAAAGGAAGCTATTGTATATGGTCACCGTAAGAATGACTCATACCACACTATTGTAGCTAATGTAGATTGTAGAAAGTCTATTGTGGATAATATTATTCGTAGATTTTGCGAATCAGGAACTGTTAAATCGCAAGCTATTCAGATGAGATGACCACCGCTTCTTACTATTTCTGATCATTTTGTTCTCAAGACTCTTATTACTAGTGAAAAATCGCTGTCTAAACCTCATTCAAATTATCACTGCTCTTGCTACTCAAACAAAATGTAATATATCGAGAAAGACTGTTCGCAGTGCTTTATATAAAGAAGATCTGTGATCCCGTATGGCATGTCCAAAGTCACTCATTTCCACTGTTAATGCTGAGAGACAACTTGCCTAGTGTCTTGCACATAAAGACTGGACAGCTCAACATTTTCGTCATGTTTTGTGATCAGATGAATCAACATTTTGTCTCTTTCAACAATCATCTTGTCAGGTCTGGCGTGAGTCACATGAAGAATAGGATATTAAATATGTGAGTAGTCCTGTCAAGCATAATCCTAGTCAGATGCACTGGAGTTGTTTTTCCTGGTATGGAACTGGCCCTCTCGTCGTGCTCAATAACTCTATCACTGGTAAGTCTCGCATTAAAATTCTTCATAGGTATGTTTTGCCAACATTAGAAACCTACTCAGGAAATGTGAATCGTGATCAGTCTTGGTTTCAACAAGGTAATGCAAGACTGCACACTTTTAACGCCACTAGCAATTTTTTCAAAGAAAACAAAGTTCGAGTGTTGGATTGGTCCATTCAAAGCCCAGATCTAAACCCAATCAAAAATGCTCTTCGACGCAAACCAAATTCAAGTAATCTCATTGATCTTGAATGTCTTGTTCAAGAAGTCTGGTGTGATGTATCATCTGAGTTTTGATATTAATTGGTAGATAGTATACCAAATCGCATTAATACTTGTATGAAGGGCTGACAAAGTATTGATGTTAGATTTGCAAGATTAATTTGGCTAAACATGTCTCAAAATCAGACAAAATGCATCACAGTTTGGCGAGATGAGTTTCAGTTTAACAAAAAAATTTAAATTTTATGTTTTTTTGAATTAGTAATTTAAATCCCTTGAAATTTTAAGATAATATACATTATGATTTAGTAAATCTATTAGCTTATAATAATAAAGTATATTTTTTATTGGTTTTTATGGTATTATATTTTTAAAAGTGTTTATAATATTGTACAAAAGTTATACTAAATTATAAAATTTAGCTGGATATAGTTTCAACTTTTTAAAAAATAATGTGAGTCACCTGAAAATTCCAAGAAAAATGAAATGTGACTGGCCACCAAAAGATTCTATCCAAGTTTACACAATAGTAATCTCAAATAAAAATAAATAGGATATGAACAAAAAAATATATATAATGATAATAATTACAATTTGGAAAACAGAAAAAAATTGATATTTATAATAAAAAATAAATAATATAAAGTAAAATAATTGTGAAAATCACAATATTTGCAAAATAAAGAATAAAAATTGTTTATTTATAGCATATTAGAATAAATATATATATATATACAAATATCTTTAATCTTTAATTATATTATATAAAAAAAGTATATTAAGTTCAAGTTAGTATACAAGAATTTGCAAAAATAAATTCACGGAAAAATATATACAAAATTTTATCAATTCTAATATTAGAACTTTCCAAATTAAAAGTATCACTCTTATTTATCTAATCTGATTCTTATATATAACAAATATTTCCATATTTTTAGTATTACAAAAATATAATAAGAAGTTATTGGTCTGAGTGATAATATAATTAAAAAAATAAAAGTTTAAAATATATTACATATTATATTCAATTTATTATAAGATAAATATTGGTATATTTAATTAATATATAGCTTTAATAATAATATTATAATAAAATAAAAAGTAATATAATAAATATTTACAATATTAATATATATAAAAGTTTGCTAAATATAATAAAAATTTGATATTAGTAATTTTTCAAAGCAAAGTTTGACTAGAACAAAATTTTAGCAAAAAATATTAAATATCGAAAAAATAAGTATATTAAAGATATAAATAGTAAATAATAAGAAGTATAAATATCAAATAAAATAATATATATAAAAGTTTATTAAATATAATTTCTAAAAATTTATATTTAATTTTGTATTAGTTTTTTGATTATTGTAATAAAATTTAATAATAATATTTTTTAAAAGCAAAATTATAATAACTAAATACAAAAAAATAATAATATTAAAAGATAAATAAAAAAGTATAATTATATTTTGATTTTTTATAATAATTATAACTTAAGAAAAAAGAATTAATTTTTTAAATAATAACAAATTAATAAATTGTCTAATATTATTAAATAAATTTTCTAATTAATTAAAAAGTTTTTAAATTTTTAGTTATTTATTATTTTAAAATTATTAGTATTATTTATATATAAAAATTTTAATAAAATTTATATTTGCTAAAAAATTTGAGTTATATATAAAAGAAATATATTAAGTATTTTCATTATAATTATAATTTTAATTTTATTATTATATTATTATTATTATTATTGTTATTATTATTATTATTATTATTATTATTATTATTATTATTTATTGCTAAAGTGTAATCTTGTTTATAGTAGTATCTAATCTAATATATATAATACGAAGGATAAGAATTAAGTTACTATAAACTACCAAAAATCTATATTGAAAGAGTTTAGTATGACTAGCCACCAATAACCTGTTGAAGCTTACACAGAGTTCAAAGAATTCATCAAATTGTCACTGAAGATTTTCAATTTGATGATATTGATAATATTGATATTGCTATAGAGAATGAATATAAAAGATTTAGAACAATTATTATTGTTGTGTTCTTCTAGTAAGAATTCATACATGCAGAGGTTTGGATTGGAGTAATGCTTATTAAGTGAAATGTATGAGGATAGCTATGTTGTGGACATTATTTATTTTTGGCATAAGAGTTTATTTTTTTGCTTTTTGAAAAAGTGACATGACTTGTTATTTTGAATTTGAATCTTGCATCTGTTATTCCATATTTGAGTTTTTATTTGCATGGCAAACCAGAAAATTGTTTTGTATAATATTGTGATAGCATCTTGGTGTGATAATTTGAGAGATTTAATAAAAATCAATAAAGATATTGGAACAAAGTCATAGATAATGTGATTGACTTGTAAAGAATTTGGTTGAAGTCAATGCGTTGATGAGTAGGTTGAGCAAAAAGAGGGTTGATATGAAATTAATTTGGAAGCTAATTGTTGCCATTTGATGATTTGTTTGTTTGATGAATTAAAATGTGGTGACATGTTAAACAGTCCATTTGATCCAAATTATTAATGTACGTATGAATGAAGAAAAACGTTAAAGCGTTAGATAGTTGGGAAATTTTAGTCGAGATCAATTGGAAACATAGCTAATGCTAGTTGTCACATATCCGAAAATTTCTCACGCAATATGTAAGCTCGTTTTAAATTTAGAACATCTTTTTTCTCTTCCAGAATAGATTTCATAAAAAAACTAGTCTTTCTTCCAGGTCGGGCATTTAGCTGCAATTTCAAAGTTTGGCAAAAGAAAAAAGTTCATATGAAGATAGGTTTGGATTATTTTTGGTCTTCAGTTGCAGAAGTAAAATTTATTGAACAAATAAATTTAATAGATTAAGCTAACCTTTTCATTTTTTTCAATAAATTATATTGAAATTTTTATGCTAATGTGAACCCATAATTTATAAGCAAGTATTTTCATTTATATTGTTATTTTATTATTATCAATATTTATTGGCAATACTTTTCTAATATTATAAAATATGAAATGCAAGTTCGTTTAAATCGGCTCATAATGCAATGAACGTGAATACATGTATGTCTTTGATACGCAGTTGAAAAATATCATTGAGAATTGTTTCTGAAATTTTTTGGAATTGTCCCAAAATATCCCGAATTATTACATGCTTCGTAACTAATTAAAATTTATGCGGAATACGCTTCTGGATAGTTACGGAATGATAAAATTTGTAATTAAGTTCGAGTTATTCGAGTTATTTTCATAAGGTAAAAATTTGCTCGTTTAGATTTTTAAAAATTAAATATTGATAAATTGAGAGTTCAAACAAGAAAATATTCATATAATTTATTTAAACTGACTTTCACTGGGCGTAACAGTGATTATAGCGAAAAAATGTCATCTATGAAGACATTATAGATAGAGATGAGATGTTATGCGATTTGTAATGGTTTGGATTAAATCGATAATTTCTTTATAATAAATAAAGCTTTAAAAAATCAATCATGTCAAAAATCTGTAATATAACTAAACCATTTTAAACTGTGTGGTTCAACCATAGTACTCTAGCCATGGCGAAAAAAATGTACGTTTCACGTGTTCTGAAATAAGTCCATTAAAATATCCGATTAATATTAGATATCAAGTATTAGGGTTAGGGTAGAGCTGAGATTAAGATTATATAAAATTGTCTTCCCGACATTTTTTGATAGTGCGCCAAGCTAGATTTAGATATCTGTTTTTTGTATTTTTCATATTTTTCGTATTTTTTGTCTTTTCTCATTTCTTGTACCGGATTTGTTTTGTCGATTGATCAAAAATTTGCTACATTCCTATTGGTTGCGCATAATTTTTACGCATTCTTACTGGTTGGATTGATTCAACATCACGTGCACCGTACATTTTTTTCGCCATGACTAGGGTACTAGTTCAACCATGTGGTTTCAAATGGTTTAAATGAAATTATTATTTTTTATAAAAATAAAATAACTATTTTTTGTTATAAGTAATTTACGTTGATTAGAAACTTTAAAAAAGCATAATTCTGCCAAATATTGACAATTACAATGAGGTAAATAAATTGATAACAACACTAATTGTAGACACGATACAATAAAGGGACAAATAATAACCCAATAACAAACTTTTTATATTTATAGGTTGCATACTGAAATTAAAAATTTCATATTTATTAGTTATTTTTTTGGGTGACTGTGTGTAATCACAGAATTACGAAACGGTGATCATGGAATATTACATTAAGTATTTGGAAAACAGAATAAAACAGTTCAGCTTTTAAGAGAAATATCAACAATAGCAAATGTCGAGCCAAGTCTTTAATAACTTGTTTTTTTGACTCAACAATAGCCAGAGTAGAAGCAATTTAAATTATTACTTAAAATGCTTTGTTGCATGTTTTGTGCAGTAAATTTCTACTGATTCATTATAAAATAAGCAAAATAAAAAATTATCTTCTATTTAGAAGTGTCAATGTACTTTCAAGTTGATTATTTAATTGCTTTCTTTTAAATATGATAATAACAAATCTTCTAATTTAACTTAAAGAAAATCTAAAAGATAAAATTTCTAATAAAGAAATATATGATTAATTTAAAAGGTCGCTGAAGATTATAAAACGAACCAAGTCATTGATTATGTTTAATGTTGAGCATTATTCTACTGCTAACAAACTGTTTGAAATTATAAATGAGTTCACAAATTATCAATAAATCGAGATTTTTTTCAGCCAGTTGTCATTGGGAAACTACTGTAATTATAAAATTTGTTATAATTGTGTAATCAAATATAAATGAATCAGTTACAAATAGCCAACAACCTCTTTGACATATCTTTTGCCTCATCGAGTGACTCCGGATTTTTCTGGTTCATTAATTACTATGCCATCTTAGTAATTTTGAAGGGATATCAAACATGTTATTTGAATAAAAGTTCCAACACTCCATATATCAACCATCACGTTATGTTCGCCAGTTAATATTTCAGAGAATTTTCTAAAGCTTCTCTTGAAGGGAAAACTGAATAATCAAAACTGATTAAAATAAATTTTCATAATATAACATTCAGCCATCATACACCTCTATTAATGGAACATGCGTACATAAATATACAAATAATAAAAAATGCATCTATATCAAAGTTAGAAGAACATTCTATCTTCAGACAAGTCAAGATACAAATTATTTTCGTTATATGCCTCGTAGCGACAAATAAATGGAATGCTTGGCAGAAGTATCTCAATTTTTCGGTAAATCTAAACATATACGCAATCATTAGAATGTATACCCTCAACAAGAAATTGAACAGACCCAACTTACTTTTATCGTTCCATTTCTTTTAAATAAATGACTTTGTTTTCCTTAAAATAAATTTTTTAACGGAATACGCAGATCCATTCGATCGTCTCAATGTTATAAAGTCGGACAAATCTCTCGGAAGGAACAAATTCACTATCACAGACAATATATGAATTACATAACAATAAATAAATTAGCATTTTGTGAGAATAATTACAAGTTCAAAAGATACTTATAAATGTTCTAAATGATCAGAATAAATTTCTACACATTTTCCCTTCAATGTTCGAGTATCTTCGGATTTATGCAAACAAACAAAGATGATACAAGAACCAATAGCGTAATGGCACAAAAAATAAGGTGTATTTCCATAGGTTTGGACTGGAGTTTCTCAACTAATTCAATTGAAGGATTTCTGGCATCTTTTATTGCCTTTTTTCTTCCCCACAAAAAGGACAGATGTTTCCTACTGGGCAATTGCAACCTGTATGTATTATACTGTATAATGATAAAATTAATTTATCGCTATCGTTACGTATGTTTGTATACGGTGGAACAACTATTACATGCGCCGATTAATCAGTTGGCTACGGTATTATTGCGCTCAAAAGCCGTTTTTTCTAAATCCTCCAAATACTTCAATCTCAATTTTGATATTGATATTCCAAAAAGCATGGATGGATTTTCATTCGTACTGACCGAAGAAGGATAAATCAATTTTGCTAGTAAGTCCAAAAAAAACTGTACAATTTTCAAGGTCGTTTACTAAAATATGTACATTATTTTCCTTTATTATGCCGTCTGGACCACAATAATTATTAATGTGAGAAAAATGGCGAATTTCATTAAGGAAATACGCGGTTCATGTCGGTCTGGAGGATGATCAGAATTTGAGTTAATTTTTTTATTGTCTCTTTGGTGACCTCTTAAAAGTATCATAGTATGAAATAATGCAAAGTATGTAAGCAAAAAAAATATTCAGCGACTTATTATTTGAAAGCGTACCTGTATTGATAGATAGAAAGAGATGAAGGTAAGAAAAAAAAGCACAAGTCAGTCATTGTATACCAAACCTTCTTTCTTTCAAGATCTTTTATAAACGCAGAGCTTTCTTATTTTCTCATTAAATATGAAATGCAGAACAAGCCAGAATTATGGATATTATACAAATTTTACAGGATACGTAAATGACCACTTCGCACAATTGTGCCTGCAAATTGGTATTACAACGGAGACGCAATAGAAATAAGTGAAGAAAAGACATCCTACTGGTACACTAGTATCTCCAATTCTGAAAGCCTTCTTATTTATTACTCTATGATTAGCATTATCAAAAGTGAATCATATTTGCTATTAATATAGCTCGGGGATGCTATTTAAGAAAAGAAATAATCTCAAAGCTTGGTGAACATATAGAGGTAGTTAAATAGCATCAAGTGTATTTCTAAATCGTTGAAATCAGGAATTGAAAATTATTGCACTAGTCGATATCTGATATAAAATAGGACTGGAATGCCAAGATATCTATTAAAGATTAAAAAAGAAATTTAAGATACTGGAATACGGTGTGCGTTTTCCATACTAAAGAAACAAGAAGTATTGCTTTTATATTCAAAATTTTAATATAATCGGATCAAATCCATCGGAATTTCGCTGCGAATCTTTATTTCTTTCTTCACCCACTTTTGAATAACACAGATAAGAAAAGGATGTTTGGAAATATACTTTCTGATAAGATATTTCTGCAAGCCAGCTGCCAAGTTTACATAACATCTTTATTAACTGCACAATCAGTAAGTTCCTGAATCGATTCATATCGGTGATTCTTTACGAAAGTTGTAGTACGCGATTAACTTGTTGTTGATGGCAGTTCGTTCTTCGTACGGTAGTATATCCTTTTCTATTTTTTTTATTTCTGTGGACTTGGAATTTGGAGATTTTTAGTTGTGATTGGTTTGGTGTCAGATTGTTCTGATTCAGGATCTGGGTGTAAGCGGTGATGGTGATGGTGTTTGCATCGGCGGTCATTTTCTGAAGTTTCTTGATCATTTTCATGCAACTTCTGAGGATGATTGAATTTGTTGTATAACAATTATTGCATTTTGCAATTTTCGGAACCCTTCTGTCAATGCAGCTGCTGTATTTGACACCTAAATAATTTCATTATGTAAACTATCTATTTCCCAAATTGTACCAAAAGAAAAATATAAACAGCCCTAAAATCGTCTGATAACTTTTTCATGCTATCCATCCAATAGGTTCCAAATCTTCAGAAGCTAAATCATTCATTTTGATGTGTTTCGCTCTTGTTGATCTCTGTTATTTTCTACTGCTTTGCTTTTCGCGCATTTCTTCTCGACGTAGAAAAGAGGATGATTATTAATAGTGGATGGGAATCTAGCGTGTTGAATTTCGTAAAAAAATATGGAAGACCGTGGGTAGAAAGTACAGCATTTATTAAACTAGGTGGTGAATCTCTAGTTTTGGCCTAAGAATCAGATTACTTTATGCAATGATCATGAAACCATGTCAAGTCTCTTTTATATTTGCATTTCGAGAAAGCTGGTAAACATCTTGATTTTTAAGTTTTTTTAGAAATTATAAGCAGGAAACGAAAAATTAAGCTAATACAACTAGACGTTTAAGATTCATAATGGATGAAATGACAATGAAATTTAAAAAAAATGAAATTTACTGAACTTCACAGTAATAAAAGAAATTTATTCACTTTAGACGAATTTTCTCCAGGATATCTCATTCGTGGAAAGCAACAGCAACTTCACCTCGCTCGACTTTTTCCTTGTCGATCCATTGTTGAATTGCGTGTAAAACGCTCCAATCGTACGGAATTGAGTGTCGACGTAAATATCTTCCCACTTGTCTGTCCAAATGAGCCAACGGAGGAGGAGTAACACACAAACTTAATAATTCGTCAGCCAATTCCGGGTGAGTTATTGGTTCGGCAGCTTTACGACGTTGAAAATATCGAATGAACTCTTCATTCAAGGCTTTTCGTTCTCCTTGTGTCCAACTTTCATGTTCTTCGGTAGACGCCGACGCTATTGAAGCTGTGGCAGCTGGAGAAGTTGAACCTACGTTTCTCATGACGGAGTCACCAAGATTAAATGTTGGAGTAGTTGATCGAATTGGTGTGTATGGCGATTGCTTACTGGACTGCTTATTTGATGATATAGATTGAGGCGTTGTTGACGTTGAGTGAACAGACGAAGTAGCTCTTCTTTCAGCATTCTGAAAATGTGATTCTGGTCTCATTGGAATTGCGAAATCACTAAACGGTGTGTTTGCACCATTTGTCATATTTCCATTTAACGGTTGAAGCCTTAGTGTTGGAGTCATTTGCTGATTTGTTACTAAAGGAGCTGGTCGAACTCGTAACGGCATCCCCATCACTTCTTCTAAGAGATTTGCGACATTTGGTGTTGGCGTTTCTTGAAGCGTATCAATAGCTTCTTGAAGATGTCGAAATCCATTAGCGACTTCAGAACAAGCACGAGAAATCTAGGGAAATGTGGGAAAATTTCAAAATATCTATGAATTTTGAATGATCGAGTTTCACGATAAGTTAAAAATACGAACCGCTTCAAATTTGTATTGAAAATCTGTTAACCACATTGTCTGTACAATTTTACCCTTCGAATGTTGCATTTGTAGTGAAGGTTGCGTACGTTCGTCTTCGTTATTTCTCATCGGACCATCAATGCTATTTGCGCCTGAAGAAGCACCGTCCATATCCATATATTGGTTATTCATCCTAATAAACAATAATATCTTATTTGGTATTGTTACTCTTAATATTATTTTGTATGATAAATACTATTTTTATATTTATTATTGATAAAATGCCCTCCTTTATAGAATAACAAAAAATTATTTTCTCGCTTGTATTCCTTTGATGATATTATTCAGCTTAAAAAAACAAACAAGATACCTCGTTTATCAGAATAATACGAGTCGAGTAAGGCCTGATTTTTTAAAGAGTGGGAGGGAGCAGGTATTTTTGGGATGATGATGATCTCCTTATTAAATAATTACGTACTATGATGAGCATGTACCACGATGGAAGCCCATAGGCGTACTTATTTTTGGAAAAAACCAATGCATCAATGGTAACACACACATATACACACGCACCTGAAGCACACGATTTTTTATAATAATGGTATAAATTCTTAATTGTATATGGCCTTCTTATGACCATTAATCAATTACAGATAAATGCTTGGCTTAGATATAAAGAATATGTAGTATTGAGATTAAATATCAGATTGTGTTATTGCTTTATAAAGAATATGTAGTATTGAGATTAAATATCAGATTGTGTTATTGCTTTATAAAGAAATCAAAGATGTCTAATTTTTTGTGAGGTTAATTATCCATTTGGTAGAAAGTAGTTCTGTCCCCATCGACAAAATTATGGTGAAAAGAACTGAAATCCGTTCCGTATTTTTGCCTTTGATAAATAAAATGCTTTACCATTACCGGATTTCGATAATCCATTTCACCATTTTTTCACTTGCTGAACGACTAGATACATTTTCGTTTTGCTGACACAGAATTCTGCTAAATTATAAAGATTCTGCGCCACTTTTGATATCAGCAGGCATACCACACAACCTTGAAATTATAAAGCACAGCGGTGTTATGCACAGCTCTACCTTGGAAATACATATCGATGGTGATATACTTTGAGGAGTTCGTAAATGCTTTAATTCTTCACAAAAGATAATTTCAAAGTTTTACTACTATACTTTTGAAGAAAGATATTTTTTTGATAACAATTAAATAATACTGTACATGTAAAAATCTGTTATTTATTTATAGCTGAATTAATCTCAACAAAAAAAATCATTTGATTATTGTTATTTTGCATTTTCTTTCCTTTACCGAACATATGAAAATGAAGCGCTTGAATATATCCAGCTTTTGCTATCATTTCATACTATTCAAAACTTTTTAATAATTTTGTGCACAGCCTAATAACAATTCATTAAGGCATTCTGAAAGACTTGATTATTGTTTAACTTGTTCGACGGAACCATTTAGGTTATTTGAACTGATAGCGATGTGTTAATCCGAATTAATCAAAAATTGGTTTGAACAAATAAAAATCTATTTTTATATTTTCTATAAATTTAATTGTCATATTATAATATAATAGAAATTAAAGTTTTACACAAATAGTTCATATCGAATAAATAATACATTTAAATAGGAAGAGACGACTTGTAAAACCAAAAATTATTACTGCTATCTTGAACCCGAATCCCTTCACTCTTGTTTTTTGCCATGAACATAGGGCAAGGAGAAACAAATTATTGAAAAGTGTGCAAAATGTTCGAACTCAAGTGTTATTCGAATCAATGAAATTACAGTAAGTCACGTTTGGCTATTATTAAAATAATTTTGCAACATCAAACTGAAATACGTTTTTTGCAATGCTTTAACTAGACACAGCATAATTATATAAATGTAGAAATGCTATAATTAATTGCAGCAAAATTTTAAGCTTTTTCTTTGTGAAACCTATTCATATAAATGTTTATTTTGTTGATCATCCAGATTATTTCACGCAAGTTTTTTACTCTTATTAATGTGGGGAAAAGACTATGAGATGCGTGTAATTAGAGAAAACGTGACTAAGCCCACACGCAAGTTAGTGTATTACATGTATATGCTTTCCAAACGAATATTAACACATGCCTGTTGCAGTATTACTGTTTAAGGCATTCATTCTCACATAACCAAGTTGCTTCACAGTTAACAAACCAAACAAGGCAAAATATGTTAGAAGTCTGAATCACTGTATGCCTGTACTAATTCGGATAAATCAGGGGGAGGCACTACCTATCGGCATGGGATGTGTGTGGGTTGGTATAGAAATTATTTTATTTATTGCTTTTATTAATTAAATCGCCCACATGGCATATAATACATGAATGATATTACTATCATAGTCTGATTCAATTTCTGAATATTGGGAATTACTATGTACTAATTTAGTAGCAATGCATTTGGAATTTTTGACGAAGATATTAGTTTCGTTCTATAAAAATCGCCGCTTGGTAAGACGAGTGAGGAATGTTTTGGCTCATCAGTTTTAAAATCATATCTAATATATTTCTTTTCTGATCCAAATCGTCAGTTTGAATATCGAATCCCTCGCATAGAATGTCCTTAAAGACATTACAAAACTTTTAACTAAACGCAATAGTATTTTTGTGCTCCAAATCTCGTTCCAATTGACAATTGGGGATGTATCCCAAATCAAAATCTGAACCAAATATAGACTATATTGATTTGGGACACGACAGAATCATGTGAAGAGAACGTGAGCTGAACTCACAATATAATCACATGACTTGTTATTTAGAGATGGTGAAAATCGCAATTTAGTAGTCTCTATATTACATAATCAAATGTGAGACCACTTTTGGAAAAGATAGCAGTAATCCATTATAATATAAACATCCCTATATACTTGACTCATTATCCGCCAGAGCATTCGTTGAAACTAAACTCACCAATATGGAAACACAATTTGCACAATATCTTTATTACAATACAAAGATACAGACAAAAAAATAAATTTTCGGTCAGCCAATACCCCACATGAAAGTCTAAAGGATTTGAGTGTACACAACTATTATATTGTTGCGGGTATCTGTTAATTAGGCGAGATTGGGAGTTTTTACCTGCAATGGGGTTTGGAGAGAGCGTATAAATTAATAATATTTATTAGTATCTAATGCCTGTGCCGATTTCGTTAAATGTGACGGTTTGAAGGAGAGTTGTAGAGGGAAAAGAATTTGTGTTTCGGGTAAATTGTTTGTTGCTTTACGGTTTGTGTAAAGGATGAGGTTTTCTAACAATAACGTCTTAATACTAATTTACAATCGTTGCTTTTTCTAGCTAAAAACCTTAAAATCTTAACTTCTGATTTCGATCAATACTATTCAATACACAATATGCCTTTTTTTGGAACAAAGATACTAACCATTAAAAAGGGTAACGATTAATGTGAGTGAATTTACAAGCATAATTCACTTAAAAAATAATTGTAAGCAATTCAATTCTATCTTGATTAGGCTCTGAGGGCTATGCTTTATATACATTTTTGTTTATAAAGCAAGCCTCTGATTGGAACATCGAGGACTAATTATGTTTAAATAACTGCTAAGTTATCTGATGAATTAAATGCTATTGATCGGTAAAGAATATGCTATATTGCATGATGAAAAAGGTACTACCAGCGTTGTCATGTTATATTGCTGGTGACCAGAACTTACTAAACTGGACCATATTGGACTTACAAAATTACTAAGTCCAGTGGTCCATGGTGCAGTATAGGACTATGCCTAGTATGGTCCATTTGACAACACTGGGTACTACATATTGTTTGATGAAGAACATGCTACATGTATATTATGCAGATAGAAATACACCAGAGTTGTTTCCGATTTATCAACAAATTAGTTTCAGCTGAATTGCCAAATAAAATCAGTAGTTTGGAGAATTTAGGCGGTGTCGACAACAATATCTTTCTAACCTCTTCGACATTTGCGCGCATGCTTAGCTTCGCAATGTTTCATGAAAGCAACGGTAAAATATCACCACCTTCAACATTTTTCCACACATAGATATATTTATTCACTGGATCAACCAATCATCCAAATTGCACAGGTGACTCCGCTGCGAAGTATTCAATTTTGAATTGTATCTAGCGCTTCGAATCTGATCTACCTGTGACGTTCCCAATCTCAACAATTAAGATAGGAGTGAATGGTTGGCTCTGGATCTTCCAGCCTTGTAATGGTGTTAATTGGCAGGATATATTCCTAGGTATAAATGGCTCTAATTGTTCTTTGACCTTCAACATTGAAATCGAACCCTCCTTGTGATGATTTAACGTCACCATTCTGTCGACTATAAATGTTCCAATTACCTAATTGCCTCACAATTTCTCTTTCACCTTTGCGTTTTCACCTTTACTTCGCCTTCAAAATGTCTGATCTAATCTCCCCTTCAATTTTGAATCTTTTTTACCTGAGAAATGACAAGTTCTCTTTCTTGCCCTCTTTTTTGACACCTTCATTCTCACCTATTTAACTCTGCAGCAACATTACCTATTTAACTAACTCTTACTTCCAAATTCAAGTGTAAATTTTCATTATTTTATGATTTTTTCATTAATTGCTGTAATTCCAGCTTATTTCTCTTTAGTTTCAAGATTAAAGGAGAGATTATGGCCAGATATTTTGAAGATAAAGTGAAGGTAAAAAAGGTGGAAGGTAAAGTAAAGGTGGAATCCTTCAGACTGTTCATTTTGGGATTCTATGTGAATCAACATGAATTTGAAGGGTGAAGTGCAAAGGTCGTATTATGTGACAATGAAAACCTAATTTCTTTATGAATCATTGTCAATATTTTATTATATCCTATTTCCTCGATTATTCACAGTGAATATGCAGAAGCAACACCTACAACGAATTTTCTTCCAATTTTAAAATCGGAAGAAACACGTAAAATAAAAAAAAATTGTGTTTATGCACAGGTTATATGCGTACGGATGCTTTTCAAGTTCGTCGAAAAAAGTGCAAATAACTTTGTATGTCTTTGGCTTCCATTTTATTCCTCGCATAAATTTCGATGATTTGAGTTTTTGCTGCGAATTTAAAAATCGACTTGAGTATTTTCTAATGTGGCATAGGAAAAATAAATCTAGAAACAAAGTCACACAAAACGATAGCTACTTCATTCTAAATAGCTAATGCTTTCAATATAATAAATAAATCGAAAATATAATGCAGGAACTAGCTTAATAATCTTTCCTTGCATAAAAAATGAGATGAAATGCAAGATTTTAAGAATTAGAGCTGCATTAGCAATCTTTTAAGTACAGTAATAATACTTTGGAAACCAATATTTTTGATGAGTTTGGAATGGCATTTTGACAAAGCTATTTATATTTATTTGATTACTTTAATATAGCGAAGAAGTTATTTATGCTAAATAATTTAATTTAATCGCTTATTAATAAAGCTGAAAAATGTATAAATAGATCAGCTCTTTTTCGTTAATAAAATTCAAATTCTGCTATTAAATTTCGTAATATTTTAAAATGCCTTTTCATCAATCAATTTCCAACAACTCGACATCATATCCATTCTACTTGGACCTCATTTCTCGTTCTAACAAAACTTCGCCGATCCTCAGTTTTCTCGAAAAAAAGATTGAAATTGAAAAATCTAACTTACTAAAGAACCATTGAATGAATGGTTTCCACCAAAACCTCGATCTATCCCTCACAAATTAGTAACAAAAATGAAATCTCCAAGCGGCATGAATCTAAATGTATTCGTTGATAATTATAACGATAACAAATCAGATATTCCCTATGATGGATATTTGGGTTTAGAAGAAAAGAAACCTACCAAATATTTGAAACCAAAGGCTGTTGAAAACATTTCGTATGAATTCCGTATTGGACTGGGAGAACTTTTGTCACCTATAAATAATAAGTTTAACGAAGTGCATATTTCAGTTTTCAATTCTAAATCGCTTTATACCAAAAAGTTGAATTCGAAATCCAAGAAACAAAGCATTGAAAAAAATAAACCATTTCAATCGCCTCATAAAGCTTCTGCGAATACGAAAGTCAGACCATATAAAAGCAATGTGCTACAAATTAGCCGGATTTTACCAAAGACGGCTCGTAAATTACAAAAACTACATTCACAGAAAGGAAATAAACAAGTTAAAGATCTTGAACCATTGAAGAAATTGTCGTCAAAGTAAGTTATTCTTTTAATATTGTCAAACAGTTTGATTTTATTTCATTCTCTAACTTATTTTCCATAATATTAGAATTAATCAAAAGAAAGGTGAGAAAAATGCTCTATCGAAATATTCGAAATCGAATATTTCAAAAATATGCAAAGAATTTTTAAATAGATTTTTTATTGGAAAATAGTGTTTGCTGTAAAAGATTCACTGTAAACTTTAGTTTGTAAATTTGGTTTTATCAATATTTTAAAAAATACCAATATAAATTTTCATCATGATTTGGATTTAATAGATAATATTCAACTTTATTATCTTGAATATTGCAATCTGCAAGTTTTCGCCGAAAATAATTTTCCTTAGATCTCTTCTAAATAATATCGGGTGATTCTTTAGTGCTTTCTATTTTTAATGCTATACTTTATGAGAATTGCCAATAAAAAATTTCGGTATCGGTAATAAACTATAAAGAATGAAAATATACTGATTACAGTATAAGTATCTTTTCCTTTCGACAAACTTTGAAAATCTTTAAACTTTGTTGAAGCATTAGGAGTAGTAAGTATGAAATCAATTTTGGTTCCAAATTGAAAATGAGTTACATATTTGTACAAGAAATTGTGAGGTTATATATCTTTTTCGTTTGGTCTAATCAAATTGAATCATTACTCACAAAAGGTCTTTCTTCATCGTATTTGAGTGACCAATGAGCTATATTTACCAGTTGATCTCAAAATTTTTTGTTAAAAGTAGTGTATGAGAAAAGTTTCGGTGCATAAATTTTCTGAAATATGTTGCATTTAATAAGTGTTCCATACAATGAATTGACACCAAGTTTGATTAATACGATCGATTAAATGTATTGTAAAATACAGTAAAATCTCCCTAAATGCAATCTTCATAATCGCACACACTATGTGCACTCTCTAAATCACGCTCTTGCTCAGCCCCTGCTTATAAGGCCTTTAAATATAATATGTAAATTCTCTCTAAATGCATGCCCATGTCTGATTAGTCATATGATCCGACGAATTGCATTTAGGCATACGTATACACACCCCTACACTATATTACTGGAAATTGAAAAAAAAATAGTAAAACATAGTAAAATTGACATTATTGCTTTATATTAAAATTTGTTATTTAATTAATAAATATTTTTTATTTTTATACTAAAATAAAGATGATAACCTATATTTTTAATATATATACTTCTAGAATATTCTAGAATTTTTTAGAATTTTCTGTTCACTTGTAAACATAGAAAAAATATTTTTATAATTAAAATTGCAATTTTTTCAATTTTAATTATAAAAAATTTTTTTTCATGTTTACAAGTGAACAAAAAATTTTAAAAAATTCTAGAATATTCTATATTAAAAATATAGGTTATCATCTTTATTTTAGTATAAAAATAAAAAATATTTATTAATTAAATAACAAATTTTAATATAAAGCAATAATGTCAATTTTACTATGTTTTACTATTTTTTTTTCGATTTCCAGTAATATAGTGTAGGGTGTGTAATTTATATATTATATATTTATTGTAGTATATAATAAATATAATTATTAATATTTTTATTTTCTTTTTCGTTATAATTTTTGCAATAATATTAATTTTTTATTCATGCTAATATTATTTACTTATTAAATAGAAAAATTATCAGTTTATTTACTCTATTTAATTGCTAATTTGTAATATAATTATATTTTTTGAGCTTTTAAGCAAAATTAATTAGCATAAAATTTAAAGATAAGTTATTACAAAAAATATAATAATTTTGATAAAAAATGAGCAATTTTATTTAAACTATTGGTTTGAACCATCTGTTTGAGCCAGTTTTAATGAAATTAAGATTATATTTATTTATAAAGTTATTAATTAAAATTGTAAATTATATTATTATAGATTAAATTTACTATTAAAAATAATAGCAATTTTACTTAAACCACTGTAAACCACATAAACCGCAAAATATCTCTATTAGTAAACCAAAATTTTATAATTAAAATACTTTTTAAAATAACTTAATTAATATTTGTTTAACTATCTATTATAAGAGTTATAATATAAGAATTTTCTTGTGTTTTTAAGTTAATATTAATAACTCTAATTTAAATTACAACACTGCCATGAGGAAACCAATGGATTGAGGATAAATGATCAATGGCTTTGTCTATAAAGTTTGTCTTTTAAGACAAAGTCAACTCTTTCAAGCATCAATTATCTGACAAACGATTTATGGCTTTACCTAAGACATATGATCATTGCTGGATCGGGTGCACTCATAAGATTATCGTTTTCTTTGTTCTAACGCTAACGCTAATATACAAAAGAAACTGGTACAATGAAAATCATTTGTTCTATGTACGTATGTACATATAATAATTAATATTAGTGTAACTTGTTTTCTTTGTTTTAACACTAATGCTAACGCTAATATACAAAAGAAATTAGTACAATAAAATTATTTGTTTTACGTATGTATATTTAATAATTAATATTAGTGTAACTAATGTATCCTCACAAAAATAGCACTTCCTCACGAATTTTATAATCCACACCTCTACAATAAATTACCGAAATCCAAAAAAATAGCGATAGTAAAACATAGTAAAAGTTGAAATTTTCTCTCTATAATGGAATTTTAATAAAACTAGAATCTGTATTTGACGTTAACATATATTCTTTAAATTTAATTTCAAGGATACGTATTCTGATCATCAAATGTTCAAATTGCATCTAAAATGCTATCATATCTCCCATTATCAATGGATGAAACAATTACTTTACTATACAAAATGATGATTGAAAACATTTGAATTATTGGAAAATATTCTTGACAATAAAAAAGAAGTGTTTCAATCAGGTCGGATTGGTGTCAAACCTGACCCGAAATATTTTGGATCAGACTAAAAATCGTTATTTCTCGTTCAATATTAGTTCAAATTGAACGAAACTTTGTAGATATATGCACAATTACAATCCGAAAAACTCTACTTAAGAACAACAAAATACAAGTGTCTTAGTATTAACGAAAAAATATTTTACGATTTTGGATCAAGCCCGACCCAAACTCGAACTGATCCGAATTTATCAGATCGGGTTGACCTCAATCCAGACCCGGCCCGAACAGAGCCTTAATTAGAATCTCGTGAAATGGCTGAAAGAGGTCTTGACGATTGAAATATCTGGTGCTGAACCATTTCACGACATTAAGTTATCTAAAAAAAATTGTCAATCTTTTGGTCAGTATTATTCAACAGCATATTCACACTATTCTTTTTATTTTATCTTCCTGGATCTATTATAGTAAAAAATTATGCCGTACATCCAACTACACTTTATTTGGGAGATAAAATTACGGAACTGTGCGATCACGAAGTGATTGAATTCTCTTATTTTGGTATTATGAAATGACGATGATGAAATTATTAATTAACCAGATGCTATTCAATTTTTTAATTCAACACATAATTCCATTCTGGCCGTCTTGCTTGATTGGTATCAAAAATCTGATGAATATAGAGATTATTATCATCTTTTAATAATGATCAATCTATTTCAAGTTAGAATCCAGATGGTAGCTATCACGCTAAATTATAGGAGATACAATTTACTCCTTGTAATCAAGATCTTATTATGCTAATACAACAAATTCTTTCATGTTTTGTTAAATGTTCTTGTTGCAAACTTAATAATTACCAAAAAAATAATTTCTTTAAACAGAAAATTTATTCATTTTCACTGCACAAATATTTGATTGGCTCATTTTAAATCATGTGAATAGAATATTGAGACGTATGAGATCAACATAAATTTCTATTGTCATAATTTTTATTTAGTTTTTCATTATGAAAGCTTAGAGTAGACAAATAAACGTGCAACTTCAACAATTAACTGATGCTGTCAAGTCCAATATCAATCACCAAGATACAGTATAGATGCAAAGCTAAATAACAACCATTAAACAAAATATAGAAATTTTAAAATGGCTTTTTGTTGAAGAAATCCACTCAAATGAAATAACTGAAAGGCAATGTTTTCATAATAAACACGTCAACAATTATGACGTATTTAAGATAATGTCAATGAGTTAGACATAGCTATCAATATTACGTCTAATACACTGAATACTATTGCATTAACAATTCCAGCTTTCACTCTTAAAACATGCCAATCTTATAATCTTGGTGAAGAAGATTCAGTTACTACACCATCACAGCAACAAGCCTATTTCTGTATTGAAATACCACATTCGCATGAAAATGAAACACCATTGTGAAATTGCTTATAAGATCATTAAAGGAATACTCGCAGCAAATGCTGAAATAATACACAATTTGTGTATAATTTTCTATGGGACCAAGGCATTTATTTAATCAAAAAGTTATAGCATAATATGTTTCTTTTTTGAAAAGTTGTATAAAAATCAAAGTGATAAATTGAGTATGTATATATTATGCTTTTTACATAATCAAGCTTAGTGTTTAATGAGTGATCTATTGTAGAACAACGAAAACATGAGAAAAATATTAAACATTAAACATGAGTTTAAGAAGACTCCAGCACAAAAAAAAAAGAAAGAACAAGAGCGTTCACGTCGAGCCACGCGTCAAAAAACTGTAATTAAATTAAATTTATATTGCTATGGAATCATTGCAAGTAATTGTTAATATATTTTTTACGTATTTAACAGAAAGCAAAAGCTCGATTGGAAATCTAGATAGAGCTTCCAGCTCAGAGCTTGGTCCGATTAATGAAATTCGTCAATGCTTTGAAACTAGTCTTAATTCTTCCGAAGTTTCTGATGTTGAAATAGATGAGGAGGGAAAGCTTGATTTACTGTAATTCAGATTTCATGGCGAAGTACTGAAGTATGAGTTGTTATTTCCTAATAATAACTAATTAACTTTTATTTTATATAGCTTATAAAAACCTGGGATCACATTGATGAGCAATTAGAAATACAACGTATTGAAAACCAACGGGTAACTGGTCGTCAAATCTAATAAATCATGTTACTCGTAATGAAATGAAGGTGATGATATCCATTAAAATAAATATTATCATTTCTTACCTTTGATGCAGATGTACAGTGCTCGTCAGAAGTAACGGACCCCCATAACTTTCCATAGATCATGTGTAATGTTCTGAAATTTTCCGAGCACAAAGAACATTACAAATGCTGATCATGATACCTTTTATAAACTTTCACGTCCCAAATACATGTATAATCAGTTATTTCATAACACACATCTCAATATTAAATAATCTAACTCTTGACATCCAGTGATCCGATTTGAATAAAAATATACCATTCAATTCGCCTAGTCGAGGTGAATCGAATGGTAATATTATTTTCAAATCGGATTACTGGACGTCGAAACATTGCGTCCTAAAGTAGCAGATTTTTTTTAACATTAACAAAAATGAATCTATAAAAGGTATCATGAGCAGCATTTGTAATGTTCTTTATTATTATGCTCGGAAAATTTCAGAACATTACACATGATCTATTGAAAGTTATGGGGGTCCGTTACATCTGACGAGCACTGTATTTACCACAATGTAATATTGACTCCTCACTTTGAATCACAGAAGAGTGGTAATGGCAACAGATGGCAAAAGCAGAAGAGCAATGAAAATAATAACAATGATGATATAATAATAATGATGATATAATAATAATGGTAATAATGCTAAAAACAGCAGAATCAATGTTTTCATGATACAGATGTATTCGGAATTCAGTTTTTTAGATATAACTTCATGACAATTTATTTAAAATTTATGAATTTCATATATATATTATATAAGCTCTGGGAAACAAGTTTGTCTGATAGCACAAGTAACTTAAATTAATAAAATTTTGTGTAAAATTTATTAAAGATTGCAAATTGGAATGTTCAAAAACTAAGGGGAATAAAAATATTCTAAAAAAAATTTTTACTAATCGATTTGCAATCATTTTTGAGAAAATATATTTTCATATCTCAAAGAATATAAATTTAATTTTCAATTAAATCTACTTCATAATTCTGAAATAATGATCAATTAAAGAAAGGTATAATTTTGTTAAATTTTAAATAAAAAATAGTAAAAAAATTATACCTTTCTTCAATTGATCATTATTTCATAATTATGAAGTAGATTTAATTGAAAATTAAATTTATATTCTTTGAGATATGAAAATATATTTTCTCAAAAATGATTGCAAATCGATTAGTAAAAATTTTTTTTAGAATATTTTTATTCCCCTTAGTTTTTGAACATTCCAATTTGCAATCTTTAATAAATTTTACACAAAATTTTATTAATTTAAGTTATCAGACAAATTTGTTTTCCAGAGCTTATATAATATATGTATGAAATTTCATAAGTTTTAAATAAATTTTCGTGAAGTTGTACCTAAAAAACTGAATTCCGAATACATATGGCGGCATCTGTAGTCTATTCTTCTTATTATTTCTCTTTGTTTTCATCTTTAATTTGTCAGTAATAAGCATTGTTTAGTAATAAAAAGTAATTGCTATATAAATAAACAACACGTAGAAAATTATCTGTGGATCGTTAGAAACTTATTGGAAACTTGCTGAAAATTTGACAGAAATACATTGAAACTCGCTAAAAACTTACTGAAACTCACTGAAAAACTTTCTTGAAACTCGCTGAAAACTTTTAGAAGCATTATCTTGCATGACTTTGGAATATCATTGAAAAACTATACGAGTATGTGGAAATAACGCCAGAGGTTATTCTGTTGTAAAATTGGTAATTATTTGCAAAACTTCTGAATAACTATCAGTAAACTTTCGAAAATCTGACTTTCTGTAGACAGTTTCCTGTTATTTTTCAATGGAAAACTGACCCATTCTATTTGTGTATGGTAATAATATTTTTTGCAACTGTATTCTAAGCATTCTTTTCTTCAATATTTATTTGAAAGAAGTGCCTATAAAAAAATTGAGAGTAAAACGTAATGGAAATGAACAAATTAAGTACTGTAAAGTACATCCACATATACCACCCCTTATATAATATCTTTGATAAACAATTGTAGCTTGATATTTATAATAACGGGAAAACTATCATCAAAATTAATAATTAGATTTTTAATTAAATTTAATGGAAAAATTAATTCGATACTCAAAAGGAAAGTTACTATGGAGCAGTGCCACGAGTACCGGGTATCTTACATCAAACGTAGCTGCAGATTGTAAAGTATGTCCGGATACAGCATGATGAGAGATAATTATAAAAAATTGAAGTTAAGCTTACTCTTAAATAGAATTATTGCTGCTTTTGTTAATTTACTTTGAAAGGTCTATGATAGTTTCTTAAAAAAAGATTAGATAGATTGTTTACATCATGTATAAACCACGATAGAATGTCTGCGTTTTCTGTTTGATTAAAGGAAATCCTCTTAAGAAAGTGGAATTTTTAATTAAAAAGATATTTGATTACCAAAAAAAAATAGTTTGAAATTACATTTCTAATTGTATCATATTGTATAATATGTATAAGTTATGTAAACGCCAAATAATCTAATATATCACAAGATAATAAATAATATAACTATTTAAAATTATTTATAAAGCTAATAAAAAACTTTAATATCAAATAAATGGATAAATTTTTTCAAAGCAAATGATTCAAGCAATTCCTCGGCCCTATCGTGACCATTATCATGAGCTTTTTGGTACCATTTTAGCGCCATATTAGAATCTTTTGAAACTCCAAATCCATAGTGATAACATTCAGCAAATTTAAATTGAGCATAGCTATATCCAGATTCAGCAGATCTTAAATACCACTCGAATGATTTTATATCATTTTTTTGTGTTCCGATGCCATTTCGATAACAGAAGCCAAGACTATATTGTCCTCTAGAATCTCCACTCTCTGCTGATTTTAAATACCACTCAAATGCTTTTTTATCATCTTTTCGCGTTCCTATGCCATTAAGGTAACAAAAACCAACAGAACATTGCCCGTCAGCATCACCATCGTCTGTTGATTTCAAATACCACTCAAATGCTTTTTTATCATCTTTTTGTGTTCCGATGCCATTTCGATAACAGAAGCCAAGACTATGTTGTCCTCTAGAATCTCCACTCTCTGCTGATTTCAAATACCACTCAAATGCTTTTTTGTCATCTTTTTGTGTTCCAATACCATTTTGATAATACAAACCAACATTAAATTGTCCTCTAACATTTCCATCCACTGCTGATTTCAAATACCACTCAAATGCTTTTTTGTCATCTTTTTGTGTTCCAATACCATTTCGATAACAGAAACCAACATTAAATTGTCCACTAGCATCACCACCCTCTGCTGATTTCAAATACCACTCAAATCCTTTTTTGTCATCTTTTTGTGTTCCAATACCTTCATCATAACAGAAACCAACATTAAATTGTCCGGTAGCATCACCACCCTCTGCTGATTTCAAATACCACTCAAATGCTTTATTGGTATTTTTTTGTGTTCCATACCCTTCAGCATAACAGAAACCAAGAATGCGTTGTATTAAAACCTCTCCACTCTCCGCGATTCTCAAATACCAATCAAATATTTCACTATGATTTTTTACCGTATTTTTTGCAATATCATAACAATGAACAAAAAGAAGATTTGGATATCGATTGCATAGAAGTTCTTCATAAATTAAATAAACAAGCATAGGTTCATTGATGACTGCTATTTCATATTGATAACACCATTCTACAAGTAGTTCATCTTTATAAATAGATAGCAATAAAGTTTTTCTATTATTTTCATATTTATTTTGGTTTCTATTTTGGAAGAGTGATTTTATTCTTAGCGCGATCTCTTTCAATTTTTTGCCGGAAGAAATCATTCGTTGTAAGATAGCTGATAATCCCTTGTGGAGTTTGGAATTATCAAATTCCTCATCGTCATGATTTGTCTTGATTTCCATAAATAAAATTTTACTGAGGAAACGCTGAATACGAAAAAGTCCGATGCATGTAAATGTAGATTGTGTACTGATCTACGTATGTGTTTATGTCCCAGCGAAAGTAATGCATGTACGAACATGTAGAAACCAGTTTTTTTATTACGGACATGCAGTTGCTGATCACTGGTTATCGAGAACTAAGTTTTAAAATTTTAAAAACCTGCAATCGGGGGAAAATGACTTTCCGTGATGTGCTCTCATTAGATTTTTGCAATTTTTTTTTAATTGTTATTAACTTGTTAGAAATCTAGTATTTGGCTGTGTATAAGCAACTTGTGATATAAATATGTAATACCGATACTTTATATAATAAAGTACACATGATACATGTAAATTAAAAAAGGGCAATGTCACAGGTTGCTTATACAGATGTAACGGAACACAAAACTAACTTTCTAGAATTTTTATTTCCATGACTATTAGATTGAGCAAAATAAAAAAGTGTTTATTTGAAACCTTAAAATCTCTAATATTTTTTTAAAATAATTTGACAACAGATTATTTTGTGAAATAGAGTGAAGTGATTTAACTCAAAATTCACAGTTGGTAAATTTTCACATTGAATAACTTTTTTTCCAAGACAGATCCTAATTTGAACCACTAATTAAAAATGTTCTAATCTATGAAATTTACTATTTATCAATTTTCATTAAAATTGGCTAATTTTTATAGATATTTAAAATCCTATGCTTGGAGTATTAACACATGTATTAATGCTCCTAGCATAGATTCTGTCCTTTGGGGTCTCAAATCTCGGTGAATTTTTTATGAAAATTAGTAAATAGTAGATTTCATAGGGTAGAATATTTTTAATTAGTGGTTCAAATTAGGATCTGTCTTGGAAAATAAGTTGTTCAACGTGAAAATTTACCAATTGTAAATTTTGATTTAAATCACTCTATTTCACAAAATAATCTGTTGTCAAATTATTTTTAAAAAATATTAGAGGTTTTAAGGTTTCAAATAACACTTTTTTATTTAACTCAAACTAATAGTTATGGAAATAAAAATCAAGAAAGTTAATTTTTCGTGTTCCGTTACATGTGTGAGCCAATGTACATGTACACAGCAAAATACGGTATTTATATATTTTACTTTTATAAAAAATATTAGTATTATAGTAAAATTTATATAACAATCTAACCGCCATTACTTGCTCCAGTGGTTTTAATCAGACTTTTTCGTATATTTTTTTATTAGAATTTTTATCTTTCAAAAGTTCCTTTAGTAAAACCACAGAATTTGCAGTAAGTACAAATTAAATTATTCTTATTTTACTATTGGTTATGATTCCTATTAGAAGGTTTTGTTGCTATCATGTTTAATAGCAGGCAACTACCAACGTAATCGACTCGAAGAGCACCCTGACACTTTTAAGTAGATAATAATAATAGCATTTTGTTTTGCTTATTTTGTAATAAATCTACTTAGATAATCAATAAGTTAATTGAAAATAAAGCATTTTAAGTAATTGCTTCTATTTTTTGAAGATTTGGTTCGATTTCTCAAAAAGTCAAATTTTTATTATGTGTTACCAAATAATTAATACAATATTCATAACGATAACAATAATACGTATATGTAAAATAAAGACTTTCTTACTTTTTTTAAAATGACACCTGCTGTTCGTAATTCTGATATTGTAGTTTTACACATGATATGACTATAACATTAACACATTGTCACCAAAAAATAACTAATAAATTTTTAATTTCAGTATGTAATTCTATAAACATGAAAATCTTATTTATTTCAGAGAATTTTATTCCACTAACAACCCAATAAACAAGATACACCACTCATCGAAGATGATTACTCCAGACCGTAACTAAAAAAGATTCGTTGTTATGTTACAATCCATGATTTTACAACAAAATCGTTATATCACAACACGATCATAATACCATAAAATTACAATGTTATGGCCGTATCACTGCTAACAAAACCATTATATTAGAACACTACCATAATATCGTAAATTACAACATTATCGTATTGTTGTAAAATTCTGTATTCTATCGTAGAACGATACCATATTTGATTTAGCGTATAATATCCAGCAATTATTAGTACATGTATTATTTATTTCCCCAGGTAATAATAGGTAATCTCAGGAGTGTGTCACTAGATATTCATCATCTGACTACGTTATCATAATTTTTCACACGTGATTGACTAGCTACACGTATATTTCTTCTATCATAAACTTTCTCTTTCTTTTGCTAATTTCTAAAAAAAGTAATAGATCAAAAAAAAATGCCGAAATTTGACTCGATTTATTTCGTCAACTAAAGAAGTGATTTTAGAAGTATCAAGAAATATAAATACAGATAAATCTAATAATACCCTATTTACATGTATAAATTACATAATTATTGTTAATCACGTGTGAAAAATTATGATTAAGGTAGTCATGAGTGACTCTTAGTGCGACAGGGGATTAGAATTGAAATTTTCTTTTATTGATTCAGATTCATTAATATTAGACATCACTTTATTATCGTTATAGTGAATGTGTCCGAGATGTTAGAGAAAAATTCATTAATAATTTCAAGACTGTTATGAACTAAAGCTCACTATATTGAGTTTAGTTGTCTCCGCTATAATGATGGTGACTTATATTCTGTGAATATCGATATTACATTACGACATATTATAACATTACGATACAGATTTGTACAATACAGTAATTAGAGCTTAATAGTATATGGAAGAAACAAAACAATGGTAAACAGTTTTTGGACGTAAATTTGAGTTGTTTAATTTCCAATTTTGAGCTGGAATCGTTAGCTCAATTTTGCCTGTATCTTCAGCTTGAGAAATTTCCCATTCAAACAGCTTTTCCCAAAGGTCGATTTTATTTATTAATTCATGTAGCATGGTAAATAAATTTATCGAAAAACAGTAGCAGGCTTTGACATGTTATATCTGTGCAAAATTTTGTGAAGCATGATAAAAGGGTAATGCTCGAATGCAATTTGGTTGATTAAGACAAACTTTGAAGATACATGTAGTCAATTGGATCTTTAGAGAATTAACTCATCAGCTGCGACTAATAGATCCAAAAATGTCGAACTTTTTCCACTGCCAAATTTTATTAAAGTAGTATCGTTTTATTATTAACGTGAAATTACTTTAGCAATTCCAAAACTTGATATCTATATTCGGTTCTCATGACAGAAAGTGTAGCCGCAAATCATTGCACCAATTTTGCTGAGTGGCTGAAAAAGTACATTGAGTACAGTCAAAGTTCTCTATAACGAAGTGCATGGGCCGAGCAAATATCTTCGGTATATAAACAATATTTGGATATATTAGAAGGCTGATTTTATGTATCATATATATTTGTACCACAAAATTTCTTCGCTA